ATAAAGCAAAAATGTATTCAAATTTTAAACAATATGTGAAATGTCAGCCTTCATGTTATTAAATGTGAATCTATGTAAACAAAATAGCTATGCAGATAATGAAATGTAAACTCTAATTAACCAAAGACTTAACACTACAACATACAATGGAAATACTCTACATCACACTTAGTATTTAACTACTAGAGCTTGACCCACATTTCCTAATATTAATATTACTGCTTATGACAAAANATTATGACAAAAAAATCTAGAATTTCTAAATTTATGTTCATATCAGATCATTCATCTGTATATATAATCTTACTGTTCTAATCAAAAAATATCCATTAACTGACCAATCAATCCTACATATACAACCAAAAAATATATTAACTACAACAAATGAAACAAATAGAGTTAATCAACATATATATTACCTGTGACAGGTTTTTGTTTACAATCTTTTTCTTTTTGGTGCTGTGACCTGGTACTTCTTCTTCAACGAGCCTCTTGCCTTTTTGTTGGAATCCATGTTGGAAAACTTCAGTAATCGAATTAGGGACTGTGTGATTTCGAATGCATATGATTCTATAGAGGCTGGGGTTTTTAACCGAACGCGATATCCTAATCAACGGAAGAATCGAATCAAATTGGGCATATGTGTGATACGGTGATTGTGATACAGTGCAATATAAGGGATTTAGATGCGGTATGACGAAGGGGTTTGGCATATTTCTTTCTCTGTGATTGAATTGAGAAAAGAGAAAAGGGGGATGAAATTGGGGATTGAAGAGAAGAAGAGGAAATCTGGGGATACCGTGATATTTTAGGTAGAGGCGCGTTTGAGGTAGATTAATTAAGGGGTGTGATTATGGAGCCTTTGAAGGTATTAGATTAGCTACTATAATTAGATTAAGTAATCATATTTTTGGTTTTACTACAAAAAAAACAGTATTAATAGTTAAAAAACCAAGTTAAAGTATATTGTAAATAATTATTGAAAATGAGGTGTGTGGCATAATTTCCTCAAAATTGATTATAATTTTAATGGGC